CTAATGATTCACCTGAGAATTTACTGAGTCAATCATGAAAAGTGAATTTCATAATAGTAAAAATTTTTTTTTTTTTTCATTTCAAAACTTCATATTTCATTTGCATAACCTCTAGCACCTTTTAAATTAATATCAGTTTTTTTTTATAGAAATATCTTATATTAAAATTTGAATTATAAACCATGTTTTGATGATAAGTTTATTGACATACATTCATAATAAAGTTTTGGAAAATGTCTTGTGATGTGCACTTTGCAGCTGAGTAGAAGAACAAGTTTATAATTACATAGTAAAACTGGCCTTCAAACTACAAATAAATATAAAACCGAGAGCCGAGTATACTGTATTAAAACAACTTTGAATATGCAAATCAGCAAGTTACAAGGCAAGCACAGCTGATATAACATCACAGTGATTCTATTGGAACTATATTTTAACAGAGTGTGCCACCAAAAAATTGATCACTTTTGGAAAGGATATGAGAGTTATTTTTTATTTAAAATATTCATACATTCAGATCATAAAGATGTGTTCATTTAGAATTTCCAAGATGGGGATCAACATGAGAATAGAATTATTTAGAGAGAGACCTACAAACAAGTTCTACCCCAGCCATGGTAAGAAAAGTGTGGAATCTGGTAAAAGGTGAGAATCTATGAAAACAACAGTCAGTGACAAGTCCTCCCACGTGATCCAGGCAACAGTACACAATATAATCAAAAAGGTATCACAAGTCATGTGTACACACGTTGTTTCCATGACACATCTGTTTGACCAATACATACCTTAGGCAGTTGCCCTCATACACTAGGTGGATAATGGTAGCCTGCAGTATGGAATGGTGTGCTTTTTACATGATAGCTTATGTCCATACCTTTTGCAATAGAAACTACACTACAGATGCATAACTGTTAGATAGAACATTCTTGAATGTAATGACATGGACTGTAAAAGCATAGTGAGTCTCCAAAATAATTTTAATATAATGTACTCAACCTCTGTATAATGCAAATATCTTGATGAATTTGAATTATTTAGTTCTGAATGTATAAAAACAGTGCAGTACCCACCTCTGGCAGTCTAAACACAACAAACTCATACATGCTGGACAATTTAAGACAGCATCACTATTTGGAAGAGGCGTCACTTTTTCTGAAGAAGTCTGAAACTTTGGAAAAATATATGCCCGACGCTTATCTTCAACCCATTTCTCATCATCATCATCCATTTTAGGATCATACAGAAGATCATCATTAGAGGGTTCTGTAGCTTTTGCTTGCCCTAAATTAAAGAACAAATCTTTAACTCTGCAAGTGAATTATTTAATTTACTTTAATTTGTCTTTTATTTGGCACATCACTTTGAAAATTTCCCTCCATTAAAGAAAAGAGTTAGCCCATTTGGTGGGAATAACTAAATAACGTTACAGAAAAAAAAGGATGTTGGTGTTCTGAATGATCAGTTTCTAAAGCCATCTGATCAATGTTCCTTGTGGTAAATTAAATAGGATTTTGGGTTAAATTTGTAAAAATATTGATTATAAGTCTAAAGAGATTATCATTTCATTCTATAGGTCACTGGTTAGGCCTGATCTGGAGTATTATGTTCAGTCTTGGGATCCATACCTTAAGAAGGACACTGAACTGTTGGAAGATATAATTCTCCATACTGACAATGTATTTTCAACAAGTACTTACCTCCTCTCACATAAATAGCTATTCTTGTTCAGTCCTGCCCTCTATATACAAAATTTTTTCACATGCCACAAACTTTGAGCTACCACGTACCCTAAGATCAATGTAGTTCAACTGCATCCTGCATGCAAATCATCATGCGACAAACCTCCACCTATAGGAGTGTGACACCCTACTGACACATGTGACTCCCTCTGTTCGATTCTACCAAACTATCACTTCAAGTTTTGGCAGAAAATGAAAGCACTGGTTTTCAGTGGGAAAGAAGGGTGGGAAGTGTGAATGGAGGTAAGTACCTATCAGAAAATTTTCAGTATAGGAAAATTATAACTTCTGTTATGGTACATTGCCTCTGCTCACATAAATAGTTAGAATTCTAAATTGAATAGATGGAAGGACAGGTGTGAGGGAAAGAAAGATGCATCCTTTGAAAGCATCCAAAGGACACCCTAAGAGAGTAGATCCTTGCAGTAGAAGATAATACATAGGAGACCACACCATTTCTGTACCAGGTATACTCTTCACCCAGTGTGGAAATAGGTGTCATAGACATGGGCAGAAATTGGGAGGAGCACATCCAAAAGGGAGAGAACATGGTTGGATAGGGGATCTGAACCACAATATATAGGAATCTTAGCAATCGATGTGTTCGAAGGAAAACGAAGTTTGATTATAAACAAGATTACGACACTTATTGAT